TATATATATATATATATATATATAATGCTAATTAAAATATTGTTTATATTATTTTCTTTGATATCATTCAAAGATAAATGGATTTAATAACAAATAATATTTAATTCTCTATCTTCACACTTCAAATTTTAAGATATTACTTTTGATCTATTCAATCTATCCATCAAAAATTATAAATTGTTACTCATTGAAAATTCAAATCTTTATATTTCATTATTTTTAATAAAACTATATATATTTTTATCTTAGCCCTTATCTTTTGGAGCCTACAGATCCTCTGTTCAAAGAAATCGGACAACAATTTTTAAAAACAGTAAGTAAAATTAAAAATCATAAAGGGAATGTCTATATCTGTCTATGTGTTTATATTCTCCAGTACATCGAAGAGTTTGGGACTGATCATGTTTACAATTGTGACACTTTCAATGAAAACGAACCTTATACCAGTGAACTCAAATTCCTGAGGAACATAGGACACTCAATTTTCGAAGCTATGAACAACGTTGACTCAAAAGCGATATGGTATTATAATTAGATAATTTCCTTTTATCTTCTAGGTACTAATAAAATAATTTAAAGACAAATTTGAATATTATTCATTATAAAGATGGTATATATGATTATTCTTCAAGGTTAATGCAAGGATGGTTGTTTTATCACGATTCTGTTTTTTGGACAGAGCCAAGAATTCGTACATTTTTAACCTCAATCCCATTGGTATTGATCATTTACATAAATTTAAAAATGCCACTTAAACTTTTTAAAATTTTCAGAATTTATAGAATATTCATTTTTCTTTATTCAGGGAAGAATGATAGTGCTGGATCTTCAATCAGAACAATTTCCACAATACAAGAGATTAAACTCTTATTATGGTCAGCCATTTATCTGGTGCATGTTGCACAACTTTGGTGGCACCCTTGGAATGTTTGGTTCTGCTGAAATTATTAATCATGTGAGTTTTCCTAATTCTCTAAACAATACAGTTTTTTTTTTCGAAAATCAATTCAATTTGGCTTGTACTTTCACTTGCACATGATAAATTTTGAATTAAAAAAAAAATCTTTTATTCTTAATCAGTTTTTCAATCACCAATAATTTCCAAGATATATGAATCGATTTAAATGGAACATATTATAGAAAATTCCAGTTCCCTGAAATGAATCAGATCAAAGACCGTATGAAAATCAAAATTGACTTCCATTTTCCAGCGAGTTTTCGAAGCTAGAAATATGAATGGCAGTACAATGGTTGGGACAGGTCTAACACCGGAAGGTATAAACCAAAATTACGTCATCTATGAGTTGATGAACGAGATGGCTTATCGTAAAAAACCCGTCAACTTGGATAAATGGTAAGATTAAACGCTCATTAGAACTCCATAATAATAAATTAAACACAAAACTGTATTTTTATGAATTCACGTGAATTGTTCTAGGTTCGAAAATTATGCCAATCGAAGATATGGCGATATCGAAGGGAACGAATACACTGTTACAGCATGGAAAGGTTTTAAGAACACGGTGTATAATTTCTCAGACACCAGGAGAATTAGAGGGAAATACGTGATTACCATTCGACCAAATTTAAATTTCTTCCCATGGGTGAGTTCTATTGATTATCATATCTGTTTGATACTTTTTTTTACACGTAGTCTAATTTAATTTGTATAAATGAAGGAGGACATTGTTTCTTGCAATTTTAAAAATAAGAACGTAATACTAACAAAGGAATATAATTAAGTAACTTTATTCTCACAATAATGTTGAGTTTGTATAATTTTTATGAATCATTTCATTTGGTATTCAATTGGATTAAGGATAATAATTTTTTTATTTTTATGTTAAAAGAAAAGTTTCCTCAATTAAATTATTTATTTAATATTGACATATTACTGCTATTAGAGATGGTATAATAAAGATGCATTTATCTACTACTGGTACGTGTTGCTACAAGCGAGAGACTTGAAACGAAATAGCACCCTTTATCGACACGATGTTGTTGACGTTACTAGGCAGGCACTTCAACTGATAGCTGATGAAATTTATACTGATTTGATAGAATCATTCGATAAGAAGAATATAGATTTGTTCAAGTAAGTTCTAGATTTTAGAAATTTCACAAAGATTCATATTACATCTAATAGAATGTAAATCAGATTTATTATCTATAATATGTAATATATTAAAGCTAATCTATAATAAATCATAGTTTAATCATAAATCCAAGATAAAGTTCCAAGAAATCACATGAAATGAAATTTGAAGGAAAGATGGACTCTAAATATAAAATTTTTACTTCAACCAATTATTATTTTAAGATAGATAAAATAAAACTTTCAACATTTATTACAGAAACATGGTAATAATATAAATGTCACAATTTATAATGCTTATCGTTGAAATTTTATGTGAATCATCCTATAAATATTGAGGCTAATATTACTATAATTATATTAATAACATTGTATCTGGATAGATAATATTTAGATCACATATTAATCACATTTGTATACGCAATATACATGATATTGCTTTTTATTAACATCTCAAAAAATAATAATTTTTATTGAAGTTAAAAATTTACATTTCGTGTCCATCAATCTTTTTGGAACTGAATATCCAAATAGTTGCAAACTTTAATTTTAAATCCTGAAAAAATTGTATTAATCACGATAAATCGAAAGAGAGTCGTGGAATTGTTAAACAATTGTAATATTTCTTTGTTTAATTTTCAAACATTTGATTACACAGGCAAAATGCCAAGTTGTTGCTGGCATTATTTGATGATCTTGAGGAGATTTTAGCATCGAGTGAAGATTTTCTATTAGGAAAATGGTTGAAAATGGCGAAAGATTTGGCTACTAATGATGAAGAAGAGATATTGTACGAGTACAACGCGAGAAATCAGATTACATTGTGGGGACCATTAGGAGAGATAAGGGATTATGCAAATAAACAGTGGTCAGGAATTGTGGTGGATTATTTCAAGCCCCGTTGGGCTATTTTCTTGAACGAACTTGAAACTAGTTTGACCACTGGAAAGAGAGTGAATATGACGAAAATTAATGAGCAGATATTCGAAAATGTTGAGAAAGCTTTTACGTTCTCTAGAAAAATTTATCCAACAAAAGCAACAGGTATAAATGATATAATTAGCGACCTTAAGTTTTTTTAGATCAGAATTTCTTGATATTATAATCAGAATATATTTAAAAAAAATTCAGATATAAAATTTTGTCATGGTGTTTTGAAGTTTTTAACTTTTTAGAATCTTTTTTTTTCTGCAGGTGATTCAATTGATATAGCTGAAAGAATTCTATCCGAATGGTACGATCCACATCTTCCGTTTCATAAAACTTTTCGTCATAACTATAAACAGTATTGGTCGAATTCTTACTAATCACATCGATTATAAAACTAAAATTATTAAAATATCTAAGAAATAATATTATTGTAAATATATTTTTAATAAAATTGTGATGAAATTTATAAAAATTTATAAGAAAAAAAAATATATACCTATAATTCTAGAAATTTTATATACGTTAAAAAAGAGAATTATAATCATTCATCTTCACATTCGCTAGATTTCAATGTTTATTGAAAAACTGAAGATATCTTGTATAAAGATCATTATTATTGATAAAAGGACATTTTACAACAATCGAGTAGAATTACAGAATTGGAAACAACGATAGATTCGAGCCAAGAGCAAAAAGAGAAAAATTTGACTACGAATAATATAAAAAGGAATTATTACGATTCACGAATATTACTCACTCTATCAAGTACCATCGGTTAGACGTGTGAATACAAGTACATCGCTCCTTGCTCTCATCTTCGCTGGTCAAAATTATGGCAGTAGACGACTAAACGTAATCACTTTCCATTTAACTGTTTTTCTCTTCTCTTCGTTTATTAAAGAATCAAAATCGTCTATGAGACTGATTGTCGAGAAAATCAATGCATTAGTCGAAAACGCCACGTATAATTACTCAATTATTTTGAGTCCGCCATTTCTTTTAAATTTGGCCACAGCGCTGCTAATCAACGACATCTTGCGGCGTTGATTTTTGACGCTCGCTTCACAATCATCGAATATACGTTTATGATCAAACCCTCAATTGGCTAATTTGTGACAATCCTAATATAACTAATTGTTCGAGTGCAAATTTTTTTGATTCGTTTCTCTCGTGATAGATCAAACTTTCTTATATAAGATATTTTAAAGTTTTGTAATTATATAATTGTTATCTATTAATCTCTAATTAAAGTATTTAATGCTTTCGTTATTTTTGTTCGAATAAAATCGAATAAAAGTGACTGTCAATTGAGGGTCAATTGATTCGATTTATTTTGTTATTACAAGTATAGATTAAGAAACAGTGTGCATCTAATAAGAGATACAAAATATCTTGTGCATTTCGTAAGAATATTCATAATTTGTAAAATATATCTATTATACATGATAGGGCACCATCGTGGATAAAAGCGTCTCAAAAACTTGAACAACCGAAAAACGCTTCGCTTTTGTCAACGAGGGTTAGAAAAAATATTTCTGTAGATACGTAATATTTTTTTTCGAGATCAATTGAAAATTGATAAACATTTTCTCGTGTATAACATCCTTTAATTTTCTAAATCGTTACAGCTAATTATTAGAATCTTATAAGAAATTTTTTAAGCTCGAGAAAGTACTGATAAAATATTTTTTTTTTAAATATTTTATATTTTTTTTCTAGATTTTTAGATTATTTTAAGTATCGTAGTAAAAGTTTTAAAAATTCTTGTGATTAAGATAAGAAAAAGCGTAAGCTTTTTAATATGTAAAAAAGCAAATAAGTTCAGTAAAATTGGATTAAATTCATTGTCTCGAAATATTACATATCATCAGAAATATCGTAAGATTCTAATCTTATTATAACACACATACCCGTAACAATTAGACGTAAAAGGCCTACCGATGCACCAAACGTCTTATGAGATCTCAGTGCGATAGCAGCATAATCTACAGTTCAAATACTCGTACTGTCATCGCAAAGAATATATCTTTCATCTTGTAATTATGAAACATTCTATATTTCAACGTTATCGAAACAAATATTTTACAATTTTAAGTAACTCTTCGGATTTCTTCGGATTTTTAGTTTTTTTTATCTATTTATAAAAAAATATTCTACAATTTTACCATCGTCGCAATTTAATGGCGTCTATTCACTGCGCTTACAACTACCATTAGTTGCTAATAAACGTTAATAATATATTGGAAAATGAATGTTTATCATATGAACATGGTTGCATCATTTCGAGAAAATTTGCGAGGTCGGGACATGATATGACTGTCGATATATGAAATGTATCCGGTCGTGAGGTTCGATGGTTATCGATTAAATTAAAATACGCACTTATGGTCCCCCGGATATCCAAGTAAGATCCAACGAAATCACGAATCTGACTTTGGTTGCGTTCGCTTGGTCGCGTGCTTTGCACTCGAATTTGCAAGACTTATTTATATATATATGTACAAGACTTTATGAGTGCCTTCGTTTCATTTGATCCAAAAAAAAAGATCTTGCGATTTGAGGTTAGAATTTGTGTAATCTATCGATTACAATGAAATATATACGTGTTAAATTAAATCCTCTGATTTATTAGATAATTTATATTCCAAGATCTCAATAAATTTGTGACAAATCTGAATATCTTGTTTTTAATAGGACTAGTTTCCTAATTTACCCTGTAAATATCAAGAATATCTATTGAAATCGCATGATCATTTTTATCAGATTTTTAAACAATGTATATAAGAAAATAAAGCATTTATACATATGAAATAGAAATATGCGAAGAAAATATTTTAATTTTTATCCAATATAAATAAATTTGTAATTTTCTTTTTGATAAATAGAATTTAAAATATGGAATTAAAATTTGTTGATATAGGCACTCATATGGATAATTCTAGAAACTTTATCGAATTATTTAAATCATGTACAAATGAGAAATTGTGCATTATTATTAAATTATATAAAAATCGAAATAAAATATTTACCGAAAAATTATTATTATTTCATTCTCGTAACATATTCTTTAAAAGGATATCGTTGTTTCAATAAACTGTTCTTCTAAATCCTTTATATTCTAGCGTGAATAGAAAATATGTTTAATTCTTTCAACGCTCAACTGACAACATTCGCCCTCTATCTACAGCTATTTAATTAAAATTTGTAAGTAAAACGCCATCTGGTTTTCCAAGTGTCTTATTAAATCTCTTCAGAATTATTAATCCTTTCAACGAACTTTCTATTTCATAAAAAGTTGAAAGTTTAAAAAGTTAATATTTATTTTATTTCGATTGAATATTTTACGCTGTATCATACTCATTTTGAAAAACTTTTTCATTTTGAAAAATAAATTGAATTAAATTCATAATGAAATTATTTTTATTAAGATAAAATAAATTGTATTTATTTAAATGGAATATTGTATTTATTTAAATGAATCAAAATGAATATTATCCGAAGAGATAAATCGAGACAATTGAAAATTTTCATTATATTTAATTATTTTTAGAGTATAGATTAAGTTATTTCTTACAACTACATTTAAAAATTCGGCTCAGCTAAAAATGATCTGACTTATCTTCTTATTTTGTTCATTTAATCTGCATTAACAATTTCATAACGTTTCTTTAAATTAATTTTAACATATTCCTTTGTCCAATAATTTGTTTAATTATTTATAATATTACTTTCAATTTCGAAAATCGAGGAAGTACTGTTTTACCGTTTTATGTGTTTAAAGTGAATTCATAAACGAACGTTGTTTGCTATCAAATCATTTGCAATTGTAATTAACATGACGAAATAATTGATTCAGAATAAATAATTGATATGCCAAAAGAATCATTATGGTACATGATGCAATACTTTGAAATAAAGAATATAACTATTTTCGCCAAAAAAAAAATGATTATTTTGAAGTTATTTCAAAAAAATTTAATAATTTATTGCAATCATGTAACTAAATTTTTGAATTTTTAAATCGAAATTTTGTATATCTATTGCAATAATATTCCATGTAAAAATATTCCTTCCAGATATCTATAATCAATTTTTAGTTGTTAGAAATCAAAAAAAAAATAAAAAAAATGAAATATAAATTTTCAAATATACAATATATAATATACAATAAGTATATATAGAATTAATTTCATTTGGTCATTGAATGTTAAGTCGGCTCATACCGTTTTTATCAACTAATTGGTTAATTGTGGTTTTCTTCGTCATGTTGATCCGTGATATCACCGTTTCTCCATTTCCGTTTCCTGAATGGACGCTTCTGTCACCGGAGGTAGAGGACTTTCTGTAGATATTTGTCTGAAAGTATATCGAGACACGGACAAGAAAATAAAAACGACAATTTATTAAATATTCTAAAACAAATGGAACATCAATATTATAAATTATTGTAATTTTGTTTCAAATTAAATAAATTTTCGTGTTTAAAGAGAAGCATTGTTTCAACTATCTCTTAAATCGTAAAATAAATTAATCGAACGAATTATCTCAAGATTCTTTTGAAAATTGCAAAAATACGTATCGCATTCAAGCTTAATCGATAAAACAGAACGAATCATGGAACGAAAAGCACATAGATTGGAAACGTATACGTTAAAAAATTGCATTCGCAATTGATGAAAAATCTTGATAGATAACATCGCTATATTTTAACGTGATTTATATCATGCATAAGATTGTACTTCATTCCAATATTTCTGAAAAAATCGATTGCGTTTACCTGCCATTTGTTTGCCAATCATAAGAATCCGGGGCGGAATTGCTTCTACCTGTTCTTTGAAATTGCTCCGTCTTTACGTTCCTAATTATTTTCTTCCCCTGAGGTGTGATCTCCTCGGCTCTTTCTGATGGGGATAATTCTATGCTATCCGCCGTCGTATTCGCCGTTTTTCCACCCTTCTTCGACAAGAATGGATTCTGAAGATCAAAAACATAACTTCTCAATTACACTTTCGTTCAAAAAAATATAAATAAGAGAAAAAGAAAAGGAATATAGATAATCTTCTTGACTTTCAATATTAGATTAGCATTACTCTCTTCCAGAGAGTATTCTAATAAAGCTACGTATAAGATTTCAAAGCAATCGTTCTCGTGAAATTTCCACGATTTTTCGATTTTATTTTCACGATATCGCCATCCTCCCTCGATGAAAACTGATGAAAAAAGCAAAAAGGAGGGGAGGGGAGAGAGGGAAAAATGCGAGAATGAAATATAAAACGAGGAAGGCGCTTCATACTTTATGAGGCCGATACTCCACCGCCATTATTGCCGTGTTTACAGAGCCGTCAACCTTCCTTGAACTCGGTTGATATTGACTCAGGCTGCTCATCAAATAATAAGGCCAGAGACGTGGTGGCATTGTGGTGAGAGTGGGAGGCAAGCTTTTCCACGCTATGGGAACAGTCGCGTCACGAACAGAAAAACATAAAAGACTTGACCTCCTGCTGTTCATTGCTCGTGACGAGAGATCAAATGTCGGCCGCAATTGAAATTCAACGGGCGACCTCTTCTATCGTAACTGCGACCGAACTGTTGCGAACAACTTTATCACGCCCGATGAGAAATCTCGAAAGAAGAAGGAACTCGGCCAACTTGATTGAATTACCTGATCAACGATCCGTACAATCTCGATCTTTCGAACTTTCGATCGAAATTTCTCCAAATTTCATCTTCTATCGTAATAGCGATCGTATTGATCCGATAACGATTTCATAACGATGAATACAAAATCGTATGAGTACAGAGAAATAAACATTGAGTAAATAGAGAAATTTCTTAATCGTTCGAAATTGCCAACATCTTTATAATTCTGTTTCCATGGGTTTATACGGTGAACGAGATAAAAAAATGTATTTTTAGATTCATCGAATCATTTACGCTTCAAGTGTAGCTAGTGTTGTTTTTGATCGAAAGTTATCAATTTAATACAATATTTTTTAATTTCTTCCGATAGTTTTTATTGTCGAGGATGGAATAAAAAATTAGAAAAAGTTACAAGGATATTTGATATTTAGAGAATACAAATTGAGATATAAATTTTTGTAATCATTCAACGGAGGAAAGTTTTTCAGTTTCATTTCATTTCGTTCTCAATAACTTTAAATTTGGAAAACTGATTCGTTATTTTTGTATTGAACACTTTAACGGAGTTTTCATGATATTTTTCTTTCTCTTTTATTTTTTCTCTTTATCATTCGCAACCACGAGGAATTTATGCAGAATGATGGGAGACACTCGAAGAATCACAACGAGGGAATTTTTACAAATGGCTGAGCTTCAACGCCGATGTCTACGTTATTCCCGCTTTTATCGCTTCGTGATGTACATCGACTCAAGGTAAAATGATGAACAATTTTACGCGGACGCAAAGACTCCATTTCTCTTCAATGCAATTACACGAGACTGTCTGGCAATAACTATCGTGTCGTCTTAATATTCTACAAACTGCGAATAAATGGGATCAGGAAGGAAAGGGAGGATAAGAAAATTTCCAAAGCTATAAAAGTATCCTTAAGAACGTCGAGCCAAAGCCAAAGAAATAGAAGAAGTTTCACAAGTTACATAAACAAGTTTGCCAATTAAAATTAATGATTTTCTTTTTTGATTTCCTATGTTTGCAAAAATTAGCTACCATTAGTTTGTATATTTGATAATAATTAAAAAAAGAAAAAGATATTAAATATTAAATTTAATATTAAAATTACTGCAAAATTAATCGAGAAACATTTTTTGACTTTGATTATTGATAAGAAAACAATTTCAGGAATGGAAGAGATGTATTTTGTAAAAAATTAAATATGATTAATATAATTATTTGTATAATTTCTTATTTCGACAAGAGTAAATCTAAAAATATGCCTAGATGGTATAATCATCTGTATAAAATTTACTAGAATTAAAATTAAATGAAATTTATTTATATGATTATTTTTATTTTCGATTAAAATTCCGAAATACATCATATTTGAATGATTAGAGATAGAATCAATAGTATAATACTTCAAACGCGTTGTGGAATTTATTAATTTATTTATTAAAAGTTAATTAAAAATTAAAAAAGTTGATTCGATGCTATATTTAAAGATCAGAACTAATCCATGATCTATCGAATACCGATAATTACAATTCGTGAATCAAATTTGAATAAAAAAAAAAAATACTAATTCATCTACGTAAAAAAATAAACTGAAAATTATCTCATGAAAGTATGAAGTTTGAGTAATGGATATTAAATTTAAAAGTAAATATGAATATTAATTTTCATTTCATTTTAATTATAATTATATCGATTAATATCAATTAGTTTATCATTAAATTCAAAATTATTTTGTGATAATAAAAAATTTCATTTTACTTGAGTGTTTTTAAAACGATAAAATTTCACTTACTTGGAAACTGTGCTGCTTCAACATAGTTTTGATAAGAATCAAAGTGTCCAGTTTGGGTATTCTCGTAACCACTCGTTCCACTTCTTCATCCGTAACGGTAACCGGAAGTCGACAGTTGTCAGCTTCGATTGGCAGTGGTTCAGCGCCACGATTGGTCAGCCAAACGTGTTCCTTCATCTCTGATAACGTAATTCTTTCAGCTGGATCTTTGGCCAACATTTTTGAGATCAATTCACGGAGACTTTGTGAAAGGGCTGGTTTCTCTGGAAATTTTAACGGTTCACTGCGTATTGCTGCTTGAACGCCAATTATACTTCCGGCTCCATCCCAAGGTATTCTTCCGGTCACCAAACAATACAATGTTACTCCCATTGACCATACGTCACACAACTGAAATGTAATTTTATTTTTTTCTTTAATTTTTCATATTTAAAATAATCGCCAAATTTTAAGTTAAGAACATTCATAAGAATCAATTAAGATGTTCGAATATATTAATACTCTTTATTTTCAGATTAAGCTTTTGAATGTTTCAAGAAAAAAGGAAAAGCTTTGGAAAAAATAAACTATTATTATAATAATATAATAATAGTAAAATTTAAAGATAATCATAAGATTAAATCATCTGATAAAAATGTAATATATATATTGACAAAAATTTTATATTTGATATTACTTTGTGCGCAAGTTAATATTAGAAATTGAATCATGTTAATCTATTCTTTACGAAAGTATATTGGATAGAAGAATATGCTTTTAAGAGATTATAGAAGATTGATGGAGATATCCCAAGATGAAAATAAATATTCAAACGTCACGTATTACCATTATCTATTTACGTCATCCATTTTGAAAGTGACACAATTTAAGTAACATTGTTTAAAAAATGCAAAAGATACTATTATGTACAAGATATTTATAAAAATTTAGGACATTTTTTCCTCGATTCTAGATTAAAACGAATATTGAAAGTTAAGAAACAAATTATTAATATGATAAGAATAAACGATAACATTTAATAAAAAAATCTACGTGCTTTCAATAATGATTGCAAGCAAAAATGAAAAATCTGAATTATTTCAATCAATGGTTTTAATATCAACTGTATCGCTGATTGTTAATTACAGTTCTCGATGCAAATTGATTAATGTGTCGTTTTCATGGATATAGAGCTCTTTTCAACCAAGTGTTAAAAAGTTCACCAAATCGATCGAGTTGTCGATAAGGTCACCACTGGACTATAATAATGGAAATACATGTGAGAGAGAAATTATTCTATATTAAATTATACGTTTCCTCAACCGATCTACACGACAGAAACCATAATAATGCGTTGTAAACATTAATTAGACCATAGTGTTTAAGTGAGAACAGATACAATACTGTTTTCTTCTATTACCATTGTTTTGCTTTTAGATTGCTCAATAATAATCAGTCGAAGTATGTCTACTCTTCTATAAATGAGTTTGATCATTAATTATAATTATTGATTATTAATTAATTCTTGGATTATTTTTATCCGCGGATTTAACCTGAGAGAGTAGATGAAATTTTAATTAAATCCTAATGGA